CAAAGAATGAATTAGATGTATCATAAATATTTTATACTGTAAAATATTACCTTATAAATAATGAATGAAAAAGTATTTAGAATATTATAAATAAGTTATAAAAATTAACATAGTTCATTATACAACAAAATATACATAAAAAAATAGTTTTTAATGTTCTGATTTTTTTTCAAAAGCTGTACAATTCTAATTCTAAGATAATTATGTCTATCCAGATTAAAATAACTGTTATCTGATATAGTATAACAGTTAGGTTAATCTATTAGTAACTAATATTACATTGAACCACTTATGAACTATAATTTGTGTATTATATTTACAAAGAATTACAATATTTTAATTCATTAAAAGGTAAGATATGTTTCTGAAATATTTATATTCATATATAATTTAATTATATGTAAAATATTTTTTATAAGAATATTATATTAAATAGGTATAATTTTGTATATTATAATATATTATTTTCGTTAACAATTATTTATATAAAATTGCATATATATAGCATATATAAAGCATATTACATAAATACTCAAATTTTTGATAAAGAATTATCACATATAAAAATGTTGTAATGATGATCACATATAAAAATGTTGTAATGATAATCATTAAATATTTTTATAATGATAATTAAAAAGAAAATTATTTTAATGAAATATAACATATTTTATTAAAATATTATGCATTACATAAAATTAAATTTTAAGAAAACAAATTATTTAAAAGTAACCAATTAGTTAAATAGTTATTTTAATGGTTGAAAGTTACATAATCAATTTAGAAGTTATTTAGAAACTTACCGTGACGTAGTATAAAATTTTTGGTTTCCAATAAGGAAACCACAAATGATCACCAAAAGAACACACTGAATAAATTCTGAAAACATAAAAAAAAATACAATTATGTTGTATCTTAACAAACAAATTCATTTTAATGTTTTTTTATTAGAACATAATATAAAGACATATAAATTAATTTTTTTAATTCATTTACTATCAGATTTATAATATTTTAAAATGACAGAACAAAAAGAAATATTTATTAAAAAAAACATATTATACTAAATATAAAATATATTCATAAAGTCAATATCTTATCTTATTATAATATAATTAGAATAAAATTATAATTTAAATTTATATGAAATTAAATTTATTTAAACATAATAAAATATTAATTGAAATATAAATATATTTCAATATTGTAACTTTAACAAAATATCAAAAAATCTAAATAACTTCAATTGATATTAATATCATAAAAATTTATTATCTTTTTTTTAATAAAAAAATTAATAAAAATATTATTTTTGGATTTAAAAAGAGAAATTAAAATTGAATAAAATTAATACAAAACTTTATAAATATATTTTGATTTTTTACATCATGATTTTGTCCAATTTTTTGTTATAAAAAATGATATTTATATTATACAATATAATGTTAATATTTAATATAAATTTATTATATAGTAAATAAAATTAATATAATTAATATTTACGTATTTTAAATATATTTTTAAGACAAGTTTTTTTATATGTTATTTTTAAAATATTTCATATCTTAATAAAAACAAATAAAACAATTCTTTTAACTTTTATATTTTAATTACATTGAAGCCTCTAACAAATAAGGTTTAAATAGGATATAATTATTTCACATTCAAAAATATACACGAACATTCTAAAATAATTTCATTTATCTTATCCCATAAAATTAAAATCTAAAAGATATGTGAACAAAAAATATAAATGAAATTTCACCTGCATCAAACAAAATATAAAAGAAACTCATTTGAAAGGTTAACTCAAAGAAGGTTACAATCATCTTTCGATCACTATATATATATATATTAAAACAAAAGAAAATTTCATTATTATAAAAAAACACTCACAATCATAATAAAATTTCCAAATTATTGACAAATAATTTGTTATACTTGTTGTTAGTCAGAAAAACGAAATTCGAGGACAATGTATCGATTGAGTCGTCCGCAGTAACCTTTCAAAACGAGGTTAAAAACAATGATTACAATTTTTGTATTGAATTTTATTTTTGAATATATTAATTTATTCTTCTGTTAAATTTTAATGATAAAATATTAAAAATTGAAAGTGATATATTAAAAGAACAAGAAATTATAATTTAAAAAAATGGAAAAGTTTGACTTACCTGTCTTTCTGACATGTTTTTACTTGTGTCACATAGCTGTCAATTTTTTGGAATTATTATATTTTTATAAAATCTATTACATTTATCTCAATAAAATAAGAGAAAAATTTAAAAAAAAATTATTTTGCGAATAAAATTCGGGCGTCCATGACGGCCCGAAACAGTTCGAAGCTACGAAGACGATCATATAACGGGTGGTAAAATTTGGTTTAATCTGAAATACGACGGGAGTTGGAAAAACTTTCTGTAATCACGGAAATATTTTTTCTTTTTCTCTTTTTGTTATAATTAAAAATTTTAAATTTCTTACTCTTCGCAATATGTATAAATTTTAAATAAGATAATAACAATATTTTACATTATAAGGAATTAATATTAGAATATTATTACATGATTACAAGTTTACGAATATATTTATTTATTAATTTTATCTATTACAATTTAATTTTAAATATAATAAATATTCATATTCTTTTATATACATATATATATATATAATTATAATAATACATAAAACATATTTATTCATTTAATCTTAAAGCGAAAATATTTTATTATAGTTAAAACATTTTATTAACAATATGTAATTAAAAATAATATATTAAAAGAATGATGAAATGAATTTTAATTGATTTATAATATTTATTCAATATTAACAATTTTATTTTTTTCCTGTGCTTTAATCACATAAGACATTAAAAATATTATATTTTACAAATTTAAAATTTAATAAAAAGTTCATATATATATATATATATATATATGAAAGAATATATGTATGTAGAATTTTATTTTTAAATATTTTAATTTCTTTTTTGTAAATTTTAATAATTAAATGTTAAAAGGAAAATGACATACTGAAAAAATAATGCAATAAAATAAAAAAATAAAAGATTTAATTTATCTGTGTTTTTGTAATTTTTTTAATGCATTTTATAATTGTCAGTTTATTAATATATAATAATATACATACATATATATTTATATAGTATTATAATTTATATGATAAATTAATAAAAATATCGATTATCTTAAAAAATGATTTGCTTTAAATTTAATAAAAATTACTAGATATCAATTTAATATTTTTAATTGAAATTTTTATAAAATATTTTATATATTTTCTTAATTTTTTAATATTTAATAATAACTAATACTAATCGTATTCGTATTAAACGTTAATCTAGATTTTTTTAATCTTTTATTCTTTAATTTTATATTTTAAAAATATGATATTATTTTAATAAAAAAAAAAAGGAAAAAATAAAAAGATTATAGAAATATCTAGGTATATTTCTAGTAACTTGATAGGATTAAATTTTTTTTAAAGAAAAACGTAGATCAATATATTAATTGAAATATAATTGGAAATAATAATAATTTTTATATGTTTAAGAAAATAAAATAAATATAATGTAAAAATATTATATATATATATGTATATATATACATATATGTATATATATATATAAAAATTACTATACATCAAATATATACTTCATTTATCTCTTAATGTTGGTAAGCCGTCTATCGATTCTCCCCACGTACACACCTCCTCTTCAGTCATCGATTGCACTTTTTGCACCTGCCATTTTTTTCCAGAGTAATGAGAGCCTCATCTCAAATCAGTAGCACGAGGGTGCAGTAAAACAGGCCTGACCTGCGAAACCACCCTCACCCTCTTCGTCTCAATGAATCTTTCATATTCTATATCTTTCGAAAATTTCTAAAGTGTCTCCTGCAAGAAAAAAAGACAAAGAAAGATACACTTGAGAAGTCAAAGTGTGCAACGAAGAAAGAACAACGCAGCCATCAGTAAGAAAGAAAAAGAGGAAAAAAGATAGAAGTAGAAGAAGGTGAAAGTAAGAGAGAGACGGACAGAGGGTGGGTGGTGGGGGGCTCTCGGTTTAAGAGAGAGGGAGAGAGAGGAGGTCGAAGGGAGTCGAGCGAGGAGAATGACGGATAGCCAGCAGCAGTTTTGCTTGCGTTGGAACAACTTTCAAGCTAATATCACCAGCCAATTCGAGGCCCTCAGGGATGACGAGGACTTCGTTGATGTCACCTTAGCCTGCGATGGTAGGCGTCTCCAGGCGCACAAGGTTGTCCTCTCCGCGTGCAGCCCTTACTTCAAGGAGTTGTTCAAGGTTAGAAAACCTTCCCCGCCTTGCTTCTCTCGGTGCTAGTTGTTCGATGTTCCCCCCTCCCTTCCCCTCAACCGATCATTCTTACCTTCTTTGAGACTCATGCTTTACTTTGGACGTGGTCGAAATAAAAATTCTTATTCATAATTCCCATGCATTCATCTCCTGTACCTACTAGTATGTCGTAATATACCTATATATATTCATATATAGTTTGCATGGGATATTATTTTTTGTTGGATGTTATTTATTTTCAAGTAATCAATCATAATTTATTTTATAGAATTCTATATAAATATAGATAGATAAATTTCAAATATATTATTCATATCTAATATATATTCATGCATATATTAGTAACAATTAAAATAAAAAATAATTACAAATCCACTTTATTGGTAATAGTACATAACTTTGATTTTAATACTTTTCATGTTATAATAATGCATTTATGATATTTATTAAAAAGATTTATTATTATTAACAACTATTAAAAAAATCATAAATATATTATTTACTTATAGTTTTAAAATTATAATTTTACATTAATTTAAAAGAAAAAAATTATATTTTATTTCATAATTTATATTTTCTTTCATAATTTAGTAGTAATTTAATTTAGTTACATAATTTTGTATACAATAAATTTTTTATTGTTTTTAGTTTTTATTCTTTTAGACATTACTTTTATATTGTTTTTGCTTTCAAATATATAACTTTGTTTTATATTTATGTAAAATATTTAAATACATAATTCATTTTTTTATATTTGTATAATAAAATGATATAATTTATAAGAATTAATTTATAAGAATTAATTTATAAGATTAATTTATAAGAAATAAGTCAAAATGAATAAACTATCAAAATATAATATTAATATAACTTTAAAGTTTCTTGAAAAAATCATGTTATTATATTTTTTAATTTTAATATTAAGTAAAATAGAAATATAATAGCATGCTATTATAGTATCTATAAAAATATATATATTAATAAGATTATATTATATATTAATTAAAATTTTTTGATTTTATATTATAATCTAAATAATAAATTAATATGAATTCTATGTTTTAAAAAAAACTAATTGAGAATAAACATATACAATATATTTATGTAATGAATTCATATATAATAATTTCAAAAATTAAAATTTAAAAAACAATTAAATTTTATTAAAATATTTTTTTTAAAGTTATTTTAATATAATAAATTTTAATCATATTAATCATAATGGTTCAAAATAATATTAAAATTTGTTATAAATATAATATAAATTAAATACAAAATATTTTATAGTTTTTGTTTGTTAAACAAATATTTATTATACTAATTATATATTTATAGACAAATCCATGCAAGCATCCGATAATATTTATGCGTGATGTGGAATTTGAACATCTACAGTCACTTTTGGAATTCATGTATGCTGGAGAGGTTAACATATCTCAAGCAGAATTACCTACATTTTTAAGAACTGCTGAGTCTCTGCAAATCCGTGGCCTCACTGACTCTCAAAATAATCAGCACAACAACGAAAAGGTTAGTTTTAAAATATATTATAAATAATAATTAATTTTCATTTAATTTCAATATTTAATTTAAATTTATATTGAAATATATATTTTGTTTCTTGTAGTAATTTAATTAGTAATAATAATTAATTAATAGAATCTTATCTTAGTTATTTTAAGAAAAGAATTTTTTAAAAATCTTTTAAAAATATATTGGTAAAATTTCAATTGCTTGTTTTTAGCATTTGAAGACAAACAATATACATGCATCAAATGGTCGTGGGTTGATCTCACCAAATTTAGAGGAGGAGCGTAGTAAAACTCCACCAACTTCAAGTCCTCCACCACTAAAAAGGCTGTGCAAACGAAGTGATTCGCCTCAAATATCTAGTCCAGTACCAGCTGCGGCGGCCTGTGCATCTGGAACACCACGCACACGGCCATTAATTGAGCCACAGGTTCAACTTGACTGTTATAAAGATCTCGATATTGTTGAGGTTGGTTTGATTTTTTTCATAATTTTATATCTATTAGTTAATATATATATATATATATA